AAACCGACACAGTTGGCAGCCTGGTTCATCGCAAGCACTCTTGCTACTGTGGAGTGGTTCCTGAGAACATATGCCCTTACCACGCGGCGCCGCGCATCGCCGACGAGTGCTCCGTGGACCCAGAGGATTTCCTCTTTTCACCGACACCGGGCGCTCCTCTCAGCAAGCACCAGACCATCGAGCTCATCCACGATGTTTTGCAGTCAGCCGGGGTCAACCTCTCAAGACCAGGCGCCCCAGACGAGCCCGACGTGCAGCGCTTTGGGGGTCACTGCCTCAGGGTTTCAGGAGCGCAACATCTGTGCCGCATGCGCATACCCGTGTCGACCATCATGCTCCTCGGGAGATGGGGGAGCCGAGCAATCGAGCGCTACGTTCAGGAAACCGAGCTCGAGGACCTCTACCCGGTCGCGCCGTCTGCGCCGCCTATGACGCCGGCGCGGAGCCAGGCCATCATGGACACAGCCAAGGAGCCGGACTTACGACAATGGACCTTGGTGCAGCCATCGGCCGAACTACAGGAGCCGCCGGCCCAGGCGGCCAAGAAGCCCCGCACGGCCAACAGCGCCAAAGAGGACACGCAGATCTCCTCGCTCCTGGTCACCCCTCGACGGCATAGCAGAAAGGCTCGAGGCCATACAGGAACGCCCGGACCTAGTCTGCAAGTCCAAGGCGCACGCTCGCGATCCTGAGGAGTCATCTCGCCCGCCAGTGCAATGGCGTGCCAGGTGCGGTTGGGCGTACGGTTACGCCAAGTTCACCAGAGCCCACGATGACGGCTCCAAGGAATTGTGCCGGAAGTGTTTTCCGGAGAGCTCCGCAGCCTCGACTGCTAAATTGGAGCATGCGCCAGCTCGGTCTGAGGACGAATCCACCGACAGCGCCAGCTCATCTTCCAGCTGAGAAGACGGATCGCTACGCAGCGCACTTTGCAAAAGCGGCCTCGCACCGCCCAAGAAGGTCTTCTTGTGCAAGCTGAGACTTCGCTGCCGTTGCCTCACCACCCGCAGCCCCGTTTTTCTCATAGCCCTTGCCCGCCCCGCCCGAATCATGGACCCTTCCTTGCAGGCGCTGTTCTCGTCCGCGGGCGCAGCCGAGAGCCTCAGGAAGTACATCACGAACATCGGCGTGACCACCACCGCCATCTTCGCCGAGCTTGGGGAGACGATCGAGGACTTCGACGAAGCAGTTGTCGCGCAGCTTCGCAAGCCCGTGGACCTGCGCGACGGGACCGTTTTGGAACTGGCCGCGACAGAGTTTCCAGTGGCACGCGCTCGCCTCCGACACGTGTGGAAGAAGTGTCGTGAAGCACACACGACCGCGACGCCAGCAGCTACGGCCACGACCACGACGACCTCGTCTTCCTCCTCGACTAAGACGAAGGAGCTGCCTCCCGGATACTGGCAACAACAGATCAAGAAATACGAGGCAGTCCAGATCAAGGGCATCGCGAGGAGATTCCCCGAGACGCCACTCCTCGGCGCCGAGGCCACACTGGCTAAGCTCATCGCCGACGCCAAGAACGGCCAACACTGCTCGGTGTCGCTGGAAGAGATCGTGCAGGATCGCCATTTCAAGGCGTCGGGCGAGCCCAACAACCTCGCCTCCAAGAAGCGCTCTCGCACGCAGGAAGCGACGACTCTGGTCGTGAACGCAGACTTACAGTTGGAGACAGAGCCCGAGGATCGCTGGCGCCCGCAGTCGCAGACGGCTCTTCTGGACTGCTTGACAGCCAACCACATGGCGCTGATATTCATCGAATACGCGCCCGAGCACGACCTGGACCGCTACTTTGAGTACTGGCAACGCCTGGTACGCAGCAAGCCCAACAAGATCGAACAGTTGAAGCTCCATTGGGAGAACACATCCTGGCGCATCGCGCTGGCGCTTCGGAAAGCCACTCCCTTTAAGGAGATCGTCGACGAGATCATCGTCGACAGCCAGGCCCTCCAGGACGCCATGAACAGGGACATCCAGCCTGAACGCCCGACCAAAGCGCCTCGCCAAACCGAGCAACCCTGGCTGGATCGTCGCGGTGGCCGTGGTCGCGGACATGGCAAAGGGAAGGATTGGCAGCCATACCGCTCCTACACCAAAGGAGGCGACAAAGGCAACGGCCGCGGCAGAGGCAAAGGTCGTGGACAGTGGCAAGGACAGCGCTACCAACGCCAGTACGACGAGGACAAGGACTACTGGCGCCGCAACGACGACAACCGC